GAGAGATTTAGATTCTTTTTTTTTTATATCCGTATTTCAGATCTGGATTGCTGCGGCCGCCCAGATTTTCTTCTCTCTAGGCCCAGGTTTTGGCGTGCTCCTGGCTTTGTCTAGCTATAACAAGTTCCACAACAACTGCTACAGGTAAATCTGGGCACACCTGTCTGTCTGCCTGTCTGTCTGTCTGTCTGTCTGTCTGTCTGTCTGTCTGTCTGTCTGTCTGTCTGTCTGTCTGTCTGTCTGTCAGACAGTGATGTGTGCACTGTTTCCACACTTTTAAAATTCTGGAGTGTCGGAATAGAGAATCAATCTATACATCACTATATCTAAACCTTCTACTTTTTTTTGCATCTCTCAGAATTTATTGCTTCATTCCAGCAGAGTGTAAATATAGTCCTATCTTTCATTAATTCATACAATAAATCTCCATCACGCGGAAAATGTGATTGTTCACAGCACTTCCCGCTTCTCGCGCTCATTTTGCATACGCATATGGCTTACGTCACAGCTCATCAGTGACGCTTTTTAGAGGCAAAACGTTTTATTAAAAATATCTTTATAATGAACACTTTTTTTGCACTAAAGGTTCCCTAAACATACGTTCAATAAGCAACAAAAAACTTGCACAACTTTTGAACCGTTTATCCAATCTTCATGCATTTTTTTTTCTCAGCTCCTTTAGCTTTGTCTAGTGACATATATTTTGGTCAAATTAATCGTTTAAAATTTTTTCGTGAAACCCCCTAATACTATTGTGATTAGGAAAAAAATGACAGACTTGCTTTTAAAAGCGACATTCCCCGAGCTGTAAACTTTTAAAAATCCGTACAAACCATTGACTGCGATTTTTTAAAATTACTGTTCATTAAAGAATTTTCTAGAATACAGTGTGCAGGAATTTGAAAAAATATTCACCTGTTAAGACAAATTGATTTCAGTCATTGTGCAAAAGTTGGAGAATCTGTTCGATAGGTAAGGAGATATTCCACAAAAAGTTGCCCCATGGATTTTGGACCACACTAAACACCAAAATGACCGTTATTATATCGATGTGCTTCTCTTTCAAACAATATTTTGTGAGGTGTGCTGACAAAATGAGTTACTTCTCGGATTTTAACCGTATGTGAGGCAGCGCGGTGGAATCAGGCTCTCGTCAATTTTTGGGGATGTAGAGTTATTGATATCATCTTAAAGCTTGTTCACTAGTTTTTATTTGGATGGAACAAATATCCATTAATCTTGGATACATGTCGAGATATTTGTGAATGAAGGAGGTGGGGGTCACCTGTTTTCAGAGGTAAAATTAGTGAGAAAATGGCTGCCAAAGATTAGTTACTTCTTTGGCTTAAGAGTCCGTGGTAACTGAAAATTTACATTTTTTGCCTGCGGAAAAATGCAAGTTTCTTTACTTTGATTATTTTGACGAGAGCCTGATTCCACCTCGCTGCCTCACGTATGGATATTGATTCATCAACTTTGTCGTTGGAGCTTGCACAATTTGTAAGTATGGAATACTAAAAGACATGGTAGACTTGAACAAAATAGCATCAACTGAAAATTAATAAATCTGACCCCAGTGTTGACTTTTGGACAATAATATCTCCATTCTTGGATTGTGAAAAGTATCTCATTTTGTCAGCACGCCTCACATATAATATGGTCGTTTTTAAGGACAAAGGGGGCTATCCCGAAAAATGCTATTATGAGAAAATCGAAGGTAAAGTTTTTGCCCCTTTGTTCAGTTTCTTTAAAAGACAAGGAGAGTTTTCTCTATAACCAAACAAATATACATTCTAATGAAACCAAACTTCTCCTATAGGTAGGGAAATATCCATTTTTGGTGTGGGTCAATATTTCTGGAAACCCCCAAAATCTGGGTTAGCCCCCTTGTCCTTAAAAGCGACCTTATTTTCTAGCTCTCTCCTGCTACACCCAGAGACGCCCTGATCACGTCTGCCACCAACTGGCTGACAGTTCCCTGGCGGGCTTTGTATTTTCATTGCTGTCTTTTAATAAGACTGTCCTTCTTTCGAGTCCTGGAGTTTGTTTTTTTGTTTGTTTGTTTGTTTGTTTGTTTCCCAAGAAGTTGAGGTTGTTTCAGAATGCTCTCAGGTCTGCTGGGGTAATAGTATAGAATGTGAAGCGCATAGAGTTTGCTGTTGAGCGGGGATTTGCGCTATATAAAATTAAATGCTATCTAGTATATTTTTCCACGTTTGTTTGTTCGTTTTGT